CCCTTAATGAGACCCTGGTCTCCAAGAACAAATGGAAGGCAATCCTACAGTGCCATGGGCTGCATCATCACTATGTCCTGAGCTGGAAGAGACCCACAAAGACCATCAGTCCAACTCTTGGCCCTGCCCTGGACACCCGAACAGTGCACCTTGTGCCTGAGAGCATTGGCCAAACTCTCCAGGAGCTCTGTCAGCCTTGGGGCTGTGACCACTGTCCTGGGGAGCTGTTCAGTGCCCAAACACCTCTGGGGAAGAACCTTGTCCTGATCTCCAACCTAAACCTCCCCTTGACACAGCTTCATTCTGTTCCCTTGGGTACTGTCACTGTTAACAGAGAGCAGAGATCAGAGCACTGCCTCTTGGGAGGGAGTTGTAGACAGTGAAGAGCTCTGTCCTGTCTCCTCTTCTCCAGGCTGAACGCAACAAGTGACCTCAGCCATTCTCATTGTTTCACCTTGAGGTGCTTCACCATCTTTGTTGCCCTCATCAACCCACAATCTCAGACAAGTATCTTCCAAGGAGGCAGCCAATGTGTAAAGCTGCCCTGAAAACCTTCCCTCATCCTCAGAACAACTGGGTAGTGTTGCTACCTAGTTCTGCCCAGCACTGGTTGCTCCATCAGTGTTTCCCCCACAGCACACACCCACCCAAGCCTCCTTTATACACTGTGCACAGGTACAACCATGCTGCCAAGGGTTAAACCTTTTAAAATGGTGCTTGAAACAACCCATGTACAAGTCTGAAGGTACATAGACCAATCCAGCTCACTCTCCCATGTGTGGGAGCTGACGTAGGTCTGTGGGAGCTGGTCCAGTTCAACAACACTAGAAGTTAACACTGGTTCAACTTTGGGGAATATTGTCTCTAAAATTGTGCTCCATTAGCGATAAAAATGGGCAGGTCTATCAGGTGCAAGGAGTGACACCACTGCTGGCAGATTCTGACTAAACAGGATTTTGCTATTTGAGGAATAATCTTGGCTTTCCCATATGCAGATTGTTTCTAAGTAGGAAGAGTTGAACACTCATTAAACAAATGTTATCACAACAGTTTCTTTTAATATTTAACCAACCACACTAAACTGGCCATTAAAAATCCAAGGGACACAGTCACATCATAGCATAGAAAACTATTTGCAACTTTAGTTTTTGCTTTGGTGATACAAGATTATGGATGGGGCCAAGTCTGGAATCTACCAGGCTGTGCAGCTTGTTGAACTGTCTCACCTGGACAGTGTTCCTGCCTTGCAAGGTGAAGAAGAGTAAATAATAAGGTCTCCTCTCTGTGATGTAGGCTTAGGTAGTCCCTTTTTGGTGGTTCCCTCAGCTATTGACCCATCTTTGCTTGTGGTGAAATGGCTAAGAACCACTCAATGATCCTGTGATACCTGTTAAGACAGAAAAAAATCACTTAATGAGTAATTCTAGCCTTGAAGTTCTGCCAACATCTCTTAAAATTGTAAATTATGTAATGAACCTGTGACATAAATTGGCTGTTACTTAACTGAGTGGAGTAATTTTCCCTCACTTCAAGAAGGACATTGAGCTGCTGGAGCATGTCCAGAGGAGGGAACAGAGCTGGGGAAGGGGCTGGAACACAAGGAGCAGCTGAGGGAGCTGTGGGGGCTCAGCCTGGAGAAGAGGAGACTCAGAGGGACCTTCTTGCTCTCTACAACTCCCTTACAGGAGGTTGGATTAAGGTGGGAGTTTGTCTCTTCTCCCAGGTGACAAATGACAGGATGAGAGGAAATGGTGCCAAGTTGTGCCATGGGAGGTTCAGGTTGGACATCAAGAGGAATTTCTTCATGGAAAGGGCTGTCAAACATTGGAATGTGCTGCCTAGGGAGGTGGTGGAGTCACCACCCCTGGAGATGTCCAAGCAACTACTGCATGTGTTAAGGTGGGAGTTTGTCTCTTCTCCCAGGTGACAAATGACAGGATGAGAGGAAATGGTGCCAAGTTGTGCCATGGGAGGTTCAGGTTGGACATCAAGAGGAATTTCTTCATGGAAAGGGCTGTCAAACATTGGAATGTGCTGCCTAGGGAGGTGGTGGAGTCACCACCCCTGGAGATGTCCAAGCAACTACTGCATGTGGCACTCAGTGCTCTGCTCTAGTTTCCAAGGTGGTGATGGCTCACAGGTTAGACTCCTGGATCTTGGAGGGCCTTTCCAACCTTACTGATTCTGTGAAATAATTTCAACAAGCTCATACACAGATCTGTGGGGTGGAAAAGCCTTTTTGCAGTTAATTCACCATGAGTGAACAGACAGTGCTGTGTACTAAGTCTGAAAGCATTTTTGATTGAAAGATGTGACAATATGGGGATCTGAGCCCAAAGCCCAGGGAGGGAAAAAAATCCAAGCTTTAGTGACAAGGAAGGTATAAGACTTCACATCATCCACATCTACAGGACCCTCCCTCCTGCTGGTGTTCTTTCAATGTGAACATGGCTAGATTGCTCATTTCACCCAAGGTTTCCCTGCAGAGCTCTGCTCTGAGCACTTGACATGTGACACACCTTGGGTAAAGGCCTGGCCCTGCATGGACATCCCATTTCCCTGACACAGCCAGCGGTGCAAGTAGGGTTTTAAATGGAGCTGAGCAGATCTTAGGCAGGTGACTGGAAATAACATGCTTACCCTCTATTTCCCTCTGGTCTTCACCTCCTCTATCTGTCTGACCAACTGTTGTTGGTGTCTGCTGCAACTTATCTTCAACAACTGCAGGAGAAGGTTCTTTAGAAGATACCTTTAGGGTATGGAGATGCACTACAGAACCTCCAAGCCCACAGTGTTGTCACAGCTCAGCAGCTGCAGGACTGTGCTGTTGTCTTTTACAGGACTGGTGAGGGGATTTGGAGATGCTCTGGGAGTGTGGAGGAACCACATTCCCTCAACTATTATTTCTTGCAGAACTACAGAGGGGCTGAGCAGTTTAGGGCAACAATTAATTCCTCGATTGCACTATTGCACAGCTACATACTACAGCAAATCCAGAGGAGGCTACAGAGCTGATCAGAACCTGGAGCACCTTTCCTACAAGGACAGGCTGAGAGAGTTGGGGCTGTTCAGCCTGGAGAAGAGAAGGCTGTGTGGAGACCTCAGAGCACCTGCCAGGGGCTCCAGGGAAGCTGCAGAGGGACTCTGTGTTAGGAGCTGCAGGGACAGGACAAGGGGCAATGGGGATAGATTGAAAGAGGAAGTTTAGATTAGATATCAGGCAGTTTCCCTGTGAGGGTGGTGAGACTGTCCCAGGTTGCCCAGGGAGGCTGTGGCTGCCCCAACCCTGGCAGTGTTCACAGTCAGGTTGGATGAGCCTTGAGCAACCTGCTCTGGTGGGAGGTGTCCCTGCCCAGGGCAGGGGCTGGGGCTGGAGGATCTCTAAGCTCCATTCCAACACCTTAACATTCTGTGGTATTATGATTAGAACACTGCCAGCAGGTCAGGGAGGTGATCCTGCCCCTCTGCTCAGCCCTGGTGAAGCACATCTGGAGTGCTGTGTCCATTCCTGGGCTCCTCAGTGCCAGCAGGACATGGAGCTCCTGGAGCAGGTCCAGCAGAGGCAAGAAAGATGAGGAAGGGGCTGGATGAAGTGTCTTAGGAGGAAAGGCTGAAGGAGCAGTGCCTAGTCAGCCCTGAGAAGGGACAGCTGAGACGGACCTCACCAATCTATCTGCAGGGAGGTGTCAGAGGATGCTTCAGGCTCTGCTGGGTGGTGCAAACCAACAGGAAAAGAGGCAACAGGCAGAAATTGATGCACAGGATGTTCCACCTGAATGCAAGGAACAGCTTTACTGTGCAGTGACCAAGCACTGAAACAGATTGCCCAGAGAGGTGTGGAGTCTCCCTCACTGGAGATACTCCCTCACCATCTGGACACAATCCTGTGCCATGTGCTCAAGCAGGACAGCTCTGCTTCAGCAGGGGGGTGGGACAAAGGAGGTTGGACCAGCTGAGCTTTTGTGGTCCCTTCCAGCCTGACCCATCCTGTGATGATGCTCCACTGCCAACCAAGAGCTGAGCTATCCCCACAGCCTGTCCCACAGTCTGCGGCAGTGGGATGCTCAGGACACTGCACTTAGCACTGATCCTCTTGTCAAGGCTTATCTTGCTGAAACTCCAGCACTGAAAATATAACTGTTCACTAAACAAGCTTTTTAAAGTTTTTTTCTGGGAGTGGATCCTGCCTTGAGCTGTCACATAAAGCACTTGTGGTGCTGAAGGGTGTCAGTGTTCATGACAGAGGTTGGTACATTTAGTAGTGCCTAAATTGGTTGTCCTCTGTAAAGAACTTGAGGAATTTAAATCGAATCCTTTACCTTTCTTGTTTACACCAACCTCTTTCTGATTGAACTGTATCTGAAATCTCAGACCTGATTCAAACAACATTGAAACACCACTGAAATAACAGAGTAACTAACAATCCTACTACCAAGAGAGGTGCTGAACAAATCATCACTAGTTCAATTAGCAGCTGACAATTCCTTTGAATAAATTTAAACTTTTTTGATTAAAAAAATCGAGTATTTTTTAAATAAAAAAGTGGCAAAAATGTGGGAAAAACTGGTGTGACTAGGTGGGATACAAAAATGGTGCTCTGAAAACAACAACCCAGAAGGCAGCACTGGAATGTGGAATGCAGAGGGATGAAGTCCAGTTAAGTTTTTTGAGTGTTAAGCAACAGGCTAACAGGTATCTCCCCTGCAGGAGAAAGAGAACTTCGTATTTAAATAAATATTCATAGAAGATAGAAATAAAGCTCAAGGCTTTAGCATATATTATATGCTAACATATATTCGCATTTATTGATTTTGATTTGAATGGTGTTCACTTTTGGTCACATTCACAGGTAACGGGAAAAAACACTCGGTCAACAGAACTAGCAAAACTGACCCACAGTCCTTTATTCCCTTCTCCCAGCTCGGATTTGCCCTCTCAAAGCCTTTTAGAAAAAACACCCTTTTCAGGGTGTAAGCAGCACTACAAAACCTTAACTGTCCAGATCTTCACATTAGCCTTTTGGGGTCAATCTTCTCCAGGTGCACCAGAGGCTTCAGCTGCTCAGCAAAGTTCCTCATGTCATCAGACACCACGTCCTGGCCAGCTGGTGCCACCACGTTGAGCTCCACCAAGTAGGAGAGGGAGAGCGGCTCGATGCTCTCTGTGTTCCCAGGGATCAGGATGCGGAAGATCTTGTAGACCACGATCTTCATGATTCCCTTACGGAAGACGTGCCCCTTGGCCACGAACTCGTGGTCCATGCGGAAGCCCATCTCCACCAGGAAGTCTGTCAGGTTGTCGGAGGTGCCGATGTCCACGCAGTTGCGCACGAGCGCGTGGCGG